GATCATTCAAGAATTATGGTGAACCAATGAGTAATATCTAAAGAATTTCATAGTTATGTGTACCAGAACGTATGAACAAAAAAAGGAGACGATGCCTAGAACCTGTATTATTACATAAGAGAATAAAGGAAATATTTTCTGATCCAAGAACTGTTTCATTCCTTTCAATATTAAAAGATGGTTTGGTAGTATTTTCGGTACACAACGGTCAACTTTTATAACATAAAGTTCTGCTCGAAATAAGAAAATGGTGTGCCACTGAAATAACAAAAATCCATATTTTATTCATTTTGTTTCACAAAGATTCATTTTACAGTCAGCTCTGTGCAAAAAGATTCGCACTTTCAAGTGTTATACTTAGAAATATAGAATATTTGTTTGTTATCAAACCACTGAATTAACAGACTGATTTATTGTTCAAGTCCTATTTCGAAGTTATCTAAATACATGAACTGAGAGAGTAAAACTTTCTGCATAAAACGTACTACCAGTAGATCTCCAAATCCCGAAATTGAAGAAAGCTCCAAAGTTCTTTTATAAAGACAGGAGCCTGTTTTCTTGTTCTATTTGTCAATCAAAGTTCTGTAACCTTTAGATAAAAACCAAATGTTAGAATACAAACATCATTCTAGTGTAAATAAATAATACTTGTCTTTTGACACTTTGCCTAAAAAATCCACGGTACTTGAGATAACTCGCCAGACATTGGAATCTGACAATGACGACGAATTTTTGTTTTTCTACGAATAATCCGTTCTTTTAAAGCAAATCATAATCTAAATGACAATACATATTTGAACTATGAGGATGTGACATAAGTATATTGATCTCACGTCTATACCCTCGCAAAATATTCTACAGTAATTATACTGCTTGTTTATTTATTATGAAAAAACTAAGGTACTAAAAAAAGGTTAAAGTAAAATACCACCATGTAGTAAGCATAAATATTTGGGTTAGTTTAAAAAAGAAAAAATGTTAGTAATGTGAAGTCAACATTTAGTGTTAAATATGAAGTGTCTTTTTTATTATCTTCTTGCGGAATACAACTCGATAATATTCTGCACGTCCTTGTTGCATATTATTATAAAGTTGAGTGCCAGGTAATCCAGCGAATAGACGACAATATTGTTGATCTGCAGGTTGAATATAACGCTCAATAAAGTCAGCACGTGAGTTATTTTGAATGTCAAGTGCATGAAGAACATTTCTTGTGATATTGACCTTCTCTTTAATAATAAATGCATTATTTGCTGTTAAATAATCAATCAATACACTTGAACCGTCTACATTACACAATCCACACCAGAGAAAGTATCCATTAGGAGTAAGCACACGAGTAATTTCATTGACGAATTTCTTCACTGTTTCTATCTCATCAAAAAGATTTGTTGTTTCAATTGAGAGAACAACATTCATTGACTCATTTTGAAATGGTAAATGAGTTTCTGGATCAGCTATCATAAACGAGAGTCGAGGAGTTGTCGAATAACATTGTTGACATAGGTTAATAATATCTTGCGAAGGATCTATTCCAATATAAGATCGAGTAGCAAATGTACGAACACACCAAGCAGCACCAGCACCTCTACCACAACCCACTTCGAGTATATTTTGATCTGCAAGTGTTACATTAGCAAGAACCTAGAATGGAAAACAAAATATTCTAATAATGACTGCTACTACATTTGTCACTCATCATTTCATTCATTGCTCACTTTTTTTCAGAAATACAGAAGTAGATTAAGATGTAATTAGTAGTACTTGATATTCTCTAATGTATTTTTGAAGAAAAGATTTAAATCTTATGCTGATATTGTCATAACTAATATTGTGATTAGTTCATTTTGAGCAATTGGAACTGATAAGTTACAACTCAAAAATTCTTCGGTTTCAATTGATTCATTATCTATTACTCATCGAATGCTTATGATACAGTAAATTGTTCTCATAAGAAGTCTTGCTAACGATTATCACAAAATTTTCTCTATTTTGAACAGAATCTTGTTTCACATTTTGTGTTTATCAGAGATTCCTGTTAGAAATACACAAACAGCACACTATTACATTCCAGATCACGTATATGATAAAATTGGAAAAGAATGCAGTAACTATATTATTTTCTGGTGTATGAAATTTGTTCTGATTCACTTGTTGTAAAATATATTATAAAACATTATCGTGATCTATGAAACAGAAGTTGAAACTGTCAATACGAAAATACTCATGAAAGCAATTAACAGATTTATTTCTCTTTATTGTGATTTCTATTTTAGTTTCTAAGTAATAACGTAACTAAAACTATGGTACGAGTAAGATTCTTATTAATTAATTCAGGCATTAAAAGTTAATCTATGATACTATATCACAAATATTTCAACTCAAATGTATTTGATTCTTTCATTCGTCCTCAATTACCTGTTGATAAAGTTTCTTCGAATAGTAACCAGTATTGTCATCAATATGCTCATCCAAATCTGCATAACCCCAATTCATAAATTGTAGTTCATTGACATTCTTATAGGTATTTGAAATTTGTTTATACCACAAAGACAGTCGATCAAAGTTGTTAGATATCTGTCGATATTTGACGACATTATTACAAATGGGTACAGATCGAGATAGCATTGGTTTTGCTACATAAGATTCTAAAAGAAAGAAATCCAACACAATAAAATGATGTATATATATATATCATATGGGATGATGATGAAAAGCACAGTTTAACTTTGAATGATATTACTTTGAAAAAATCAAAGAAAATGTGCGATATTATTTGTCAATTCTAGGAAATTTTCAGATTTCATTATAATACTGTTGAGTTTAATTAAAGTTTAGAATGATAGAAATCTGATTTTCATTGAGTCTAGAATGTACTGCATATAGGATATTTGAAATAAAAGTGAGGATAATGAGAATATGGGAATAATTTAAAAAATTTTCTAAGCAAGAACATGTGCGTTATCGATTAGTTTCGTGTTACCAAGAAATCCGACAAATACTTTTCATCGATATGGAATACAAACCTCTAATTAATTTATCTCATAGGATAAGATTTGAATAGATAGTTTAGAGACAAAACTAATGGCAAAATACATTTAAATTTGGTGTGTATTAATAACAAGTCATAAAAGACGACAAAAGTATATTGAATATATTGAATTTATCATAGATAATGATCAATTGAAAAGTTAATGAGAAGAAAAGTTATTTTATATGACATATCATATCGTTCAGATGACTTTTTTAGTTACTTGCCATCAATAACAGACAATGATTTATTCATTCAGACTTTTTCTTTTCATCCTGAGATACAGGACAAATCATATGAAAGTCAAATGAGTATATATGATTACAAGGCATTTAGAAATCATAAACAATGAAAAGTTCAAGAAAGTCATGCTTTCAATAATACAGACAAAGAAATATCCAAAGATCACCATGAACGAAATGGAATTTACAGAATATTATCTGACATCTTAATGGTATTCTAAAATACAAGTGTGCCTAGCTTCATCTATCTAAATGACTTACGTGCAGGAAGTCCTTTCCATTGTGTGTTTGATTGCAATAGATCATTTTTCATTACGAGTGTAAAAGGATAAAGTCGATTGTTACCCATTAATTTACAACCCGGCATTACAATTGACCCACTCATAAGAACACACGAGTTGCCTATTGTAACAGGAGCTACTTTCCAAATACGCTGTTCGGAAGTGTGACACTGAAATGATTGTAGAGAACAATAATGTTTAAATGAAAAATGACAAGAAACAAATATATTACCACAATAATAGCATTGATATTAAGTCGAACATTATCTCCGATAGTCACCAAATTGTAATCAAAAATAGAAAAAACATCGGGTAAGGTCACATTGTTGCCGATGTTCGCACCATATGCTCGAAATAACCGAATTAGCCATTGAGTATTGCCAAGAAATGAACAAATAAAAATTCGATGATCTACTTGTAGTTTTCTTATTATTTGTCCGATTATTTCATTATCTGTATATAAATACCATCGATCGAAAATGCATACAATTATTGTATGAATGATTGGTCCAACGATGAAACCACATGACCAATAAATGCCTATGAGAAGACATTTGCTAATATAATGAGAAAAACATGTCTTCCAAAATGGAGTAGTTTTAATTTGATCTTCCGTTGCTTCTCTAATGGGCATTTGAAATGGCATAGCACGAGCTGGAACACCAATGAAAACATCTCCATCATTGCTATTTGTTTCTCGAGTGATACGTGTTAAATTGCCAACCACAGTATGAGATGCAAGACGACTACCTGGCAAAATTGAACATATATTAGCAAGGTTTGTATGTGATCCGAGTGTTATACAATCGACACGATGATCACCTGAAAGTGTTATCTCAGTAGGAACTAATAAAACGTAAGCGAAACTAGTGACTCCTGTTTCGAGTTTTAATAAATTTGTTGGATAGGACAAGAAGGTGTCTATATTAGCAAGTTTGACATCATTTTCAACTTGAGCACCTAGCCAACGGAGAATCAAAGGATAAAGATAATCATATCCAGTTGGTAGTAACCAGGCATGATGAAAACTAGACACAATTAATTGACGAAGCCACACTTTATGTAGATATGACCATGATGCAATTGGATATGTCTCACCAGCAACACAAGAACCAACTACGAATTTTAAGAGAAAGAGAGTGACAAAACAAGCAATAATTGACCATAAAGTCCAGCAAAAAGCAATACTAATAGGTAGTGGTATTT